CATGTAGCCCTCGTGTCAACAGCCCCATGGCTGCTGGTACCCAGCTGCTGGTACCCATCGCCCAGGGCACGGGAGCTGCCAGAAAACAAGCCAGCCGTGAAGGTCCGGCCATCCCACGCCTGACTCCTCTCGAGAAGCAAGCCCTGCTCCAGCTGGGAAAGGATGCTCAGGGCCTTGCCCGGCGGGATGCTGAGAGTTCCAGGCCGGATGGGATCAGCGCAGGCATGTCCTCGCCCCTTCCAGAGCCAGGGATGCAGTTAGGCACAGCCTGGCAGCCTGTCCCCTCTACCGGGACCATCCACGGTGGGCTGGAAGCCCCCTCCAAGGCGCCTCGGGGAACCCCCCACCAGCTTTCTGCCTGTCTTCTGAGGTCAGAGGGCGATGGAGCATCCCAATGCATTCCATGCTGCGCCGTCTCCCCGCAAAGACACTGCCCCAGTTTCTCCCAGCAAGGGCTGGGGAGGGATTCATCCAGAGGGGCTCCCCTCCTGTCCATGAAATTCAATGTCAAGAAGGCAAATTTATCCTTCCCTAGGGAAAAAAATATTTCCCTTCAAACGGGTCCGGCTGAGCACTGCCAGTCTCCAGGGAATCGCCTCGCCGGACACATCCACCCTCCCAGCTGGGTTTGCCTCCTGAGGAGGCCAAGAATCCCTCCATGGTCCCCTCTGTCTCCATCATCCCTCGGCCTCCTGCCTCGCCTCTCCCCGGGGAGCTGTGTGAAACACCAGAGGTGTTGGAGTCGGCTCCGGGGGAGAACCCGCTGCCAATGCACCGCGTCCCTGAAATCCAAACCCCAAGAGCCCGCGCACCAGATCATTTAGCCCCATCGCTGCGCGGCAGAGAGACGGAAGAGATGAAAGACCCTGAAAAACCCTCCGAAATTCGGCCTTGCAAAGGAAGGGCTTCTCTTCGGTAATGACTTGTTTTCTTTGAAAGTTCAAACGCGGGTCGGCCAAGTTTTAAACCGTAAAATTATACGGCGGCGAGCGGGAGAGGGAGAAGGGCTCCAGAGGATCCCCCAGCTGGTTTCCAGCCCCAAAAGGACGTTTGGGGCCAGGCAGGAGGGAGGAGATACGACGCTCCCCATCTGCACCCTGCAAAAGGGTGCCGGGGGGCTGGCATACCCAGCCAAAGGGACGTTTGAGTAGGTCCTACGTAAACAGCATCCTTTCGCTGGGCTGGGAAACAAGCAGGTGGGAGGGTTTGGGCTGCGTTAAAATGAGGTGGGACCGGCAGCGCAAGGGAGCGTCCTCAGGGATAATTCCCCACGGGCTGGACGGATATCCTTCTGCCAAGGGAAAGATTTTAGGCGGAAATATTACTCCTGCCCTTAAATGGAAGAGGAGCTTCAGCCAGCAGGGAGCTGCTCCAGGCTTTCCTGTGCGGAGAGATCCCAGGGGCTCAGCCTCCATCCTCTACCAGAAACACTCGCAGGGCAAAATCCTGCCCTCGAGGAGGGGGGGAAAGCCTCATCAGAGAAATCGCCGGGCAGCAGGCAGGGATTTGCTCTTCCACAGGGAAAAATGACCCCTTCTCGGAGGTGGATTGGGCAAGACATGCTCCCAGGCATCTTGTGGGATGGGGCCAGACCTACAGCTCCCAAGAGAGGATTAGCAAAGGGTGCTTGAGCACGGTGGTGGGATTTCCGCAGCCCAAACACCCCCAGTGTAGGACAGCCCGAGCTGTTTCGCTTCAGTTCTGCCATGCAGACATTTTTCAGTGTTTCTCCTTGGTGGAACATTTCTCCATCTCTCCTTCTTGTTACAATTTGAGGTGAAACCAAAGGTTTCTTCCAGGTCAGAAGTGCTGATATTTGCTCTGGGAAGCTGCTGGCCACAGGTGCAGGACCTGGCAGGTGACCACCACCTTGATCTCCTTCAGCAGGGATGACAGCTATGGGACCACATGAGGAGCACACAAAGTCCCGTTTCATCCTCCTCTGCTCCTGCCGCTGTGCCCCACAGCTCCCGGATTTGCCAGGGCCACTGGTTCCCACCCCTGCCACCTCACTCCTGGTTTGTCTCCTCATGGCTTTTGTTGTCCCTGCAGAAAGCCTTCCCCTAGCCTCTGTTACTCTCCTTTCTCCTGGAAGCCACCTTCATCCCACCCCTGGCCTGTCCCTCTCACCTCTGCTCCTCTGCATCCCACCATCACCTTCTGCTCTCCCCAAAATGCCACATCCTGCCTGGGGCCAGAGTAAGGGATGCTGCAGAGGGTCTGGGGGGG